GTCACTTTATTTGAACTTGAAACAAAAGAGCTGTGTCTGCTTGAAATTGAGGAATTTAACATAGAAAGCAATGGGGCCATGAATTAGTGGTGTACTTCCTATTACAGAGAATCATCAGAAATTCAATTTTTAGAAGTTGTACCTATTCCAATGAAAATAAGTCATATTTGATGTAAGTAAACATGTTTAATCATCTTTTTTTGAAGAACAATTCTGTTTATGGGAAATTTCAGCTCTTAAATTGACATAATCAGGTATTTTAGCCTTTTATGGTCACACAACATGCATGCAGTTAAGACTTGACTCCAGATTCTTATTTTTGCATTATTTGGGATTGCAATCAATAAAACATGTATATAATGACTTGTTTATGGTAAAAAAATAGCTCTTGGTCAAATAATCCTATGATTTTTCAAGTTTTATTGGTTTTCTTATGATAGCCTTTTACAATCTAGGCAATTGGTATATACTCATATAAGAATTCCAAAATCTCACTGTACATGCAATTTTGAACCAGTTTAGCAAGTTATCCAGCTGAAAAATATATAAATTGCTCTTTATAATCTATGTTGTACCACAGAAGTATGGTTTATACCAAAAATGTCCCTTTTCCAATTTGAAGAAAAAAGGGGGGACAATTTTCTCAATTATGTCTTAGGTTTGGTCTAATATATTTTTATTAAATGAACAAACTCTGGTAAATTATGACTATTGGTAAGCACATTGTTTTCCTAACAGAAGTTATTAAATACAACAATGATATTGAGAATAAAATAAGTATATTGGCCATTTATAATATCCATATGCAGTTTTCTTTAAATAACCTATATGTTACTACCAGTCCAATTTGAGCTTAAAATTAGTAAAATAGTATTTGGACATAAGCTTTATGTGTTTTTTATTGCTTGAAATAGATCATAGAATGAAATAAAGTGATGCTGAAGTCAGTATAGCAAGTTTGGTTCTGTTATAGGTGTAACACCACTAATTCGGCCCGGCCAGAAAGCACATACCAGAAAGTAGTACATATTTAACACAAAATAGTTCCTACGCATGAGTGTAGCTTTCAAAACATGTAGAATATTTAGGTATTGTTGGTATCAAATGAAAGCTGAATGACTGGTGATCATTGTAGAACACTTTTTGACTTATAATTTTGAATATTAAAAAAACTGCACCAAATTTTATAAAGAGGGTACTTTTTGCCTGTATTTCAGATCTGAAGTACCTGTTTTGGTACATCCGAAGTTCCGGGAACCAGTTCTTTCTTTATATGCCATTAAAGGTATGTTGATTTTTCCAGTACAAGACACCATAAAGTGTTGCTTTGACATGCAATGATTGTCACTTTATTTGAACTTGAAACAAAAGAGCTGTGTCTGCTTGAAATTGAGGAATTTAACATAGAAAGCAATGGGGCCATGAATTAGTGGTGTACTTCCTATTACAGAGAATCATCAGAAATTCAATTTTTAGAAGTTGTACCTATTCCAATGAAAATAAGTCATATTTGATGTAAGTAAACATGTTTAATCATCTTTTTTTGAAGAACAATCCTGTTTATGGGAAATTTCAGCTCTTAAATTGACATAATCAGGTATTTTAGCCTTTTATGGTCACACAACATGCATGCAGTTAAGACTTGACTCCAAATTCTTATTTTTGCATTATTTGGGATTGCAATCAATAAAACATGTATATAATGACTTGTTTATGGTAAAAAAATAGCTCTTGGTCAAATAATCCTATGATTTTTCAAGTTTTATTGGTTTTCTTATGATAGCCTTTTACAATCTAGGCAATTGGTATATACTCATATAAGAATTCCAAAATCTCACTGTACATGCAATTTTGAACCAGTTTAGCAAGTTATCCAGCTGAAAAATATATAAATTGCTCTTTATAATCTATGTTGTACCACAGAAGTATGGTTTATACCAAAAATGTCCCTTTTCCAATTTGAAGAAAAAAGGGGGGACAATTTTCTCAATTATGTCTTAGGTTTGGTCTAATATATTTTTATTAAATGAACAAACTCTGGTAAATTATGACTATTGGTAAGCACATTGTTTTCCTAACAGAAGTTATTAAATACAACAATGATATTGAGAATAAAATAAGTATATTGGCCATTTATAATATCCATATGCAGTTTTCTTTAAATAACCTATATGTTACTACCAGTCCAATTTGAGCTTAAAATTAGTAAAATAGTATTTGGACATAAGCTTTATGTGTTTTTTATTGCTTGAAATAGATCATAGAATGAAATAAAGTGATGCTGAAGTCAGTATAGCAAGTTTGGTTCTGTTATAGGTGTAACACCACTAATTCGGCCCGGCCAGAAAGCACATACCAGAAAGTAGTACATATTTAACACAAAATAGTTCCTACGCATGAGTGTAGCTTTCAAAATATGTAGAATATTTAGGTATTGTTGGTATCAAATGAAAGCTGAATGACTGGTGATCATTGTAGAACACTTTTTGACTTATAATTTTGAATATTAAAAAAACTGCACCAAATTTTATAAAGAGGGTACTTTTTGCCTGTATTTCAGATCTGAAGTACCTGTTTTGGTACATCCGAAGTTCCGGGAACCAGTTCTTTCTTATATGCCATTAAAGGTATGTTGATTTTTCCAGTACAAGACACCATAAAGTGTTGCTTTGACATGCAATGATTGTCACTTTATTTGAACTTGAAACAAAAGAGCTGTGTCTGCTTGAAATTGAGGAATTTAACATAGAAAGCAATGGGGCCATGAATTAGTGGTGTACTTCCTATTACAGAGAATCATCAGAAATTCAATTTTTAGAAGTTGTACCTATTCCAATGAAAATAAGTCATATTTGATGTAAGTAAACATGTTTAATCATCTTTTTTTGAAGAACAATTCTGTTTATGGGAAATTTCAGCTCTTAAATTGACATAATCAGGTATTTTAGCCTTTTATGGTCACACAACATGCATGCAGTTAAGACTTGACTCCAAATTCTTATTTTTGCATTATTTGGGATTGCAATCAATAAAACATGTATATAATGACTTGTTTATGGTAAAAAAATAGCTCTTGGTCAAATAATCCTATGATTTTTCAAGTTTTATTGGTTTTCTTATGATAGCCTTTTACAATCTAGGCAATTGGTATATACTCATATAAGAATTCCAAAATCTCACTGTACATGCAATTTTGAACCAGTTTAGCAAGTTATCCAGCTGAAAAATATATAAATTGCTCTTTATAATCTATGTTGTACCACAGAAGTATGGTTTATACCAAAAATGTCCCTTTTCCAATTTGAAGAAAAAAGGGGGGACAATTTTCTCAATTATGTCTTAGGTTTGGTCTAATATATTTTTATTAAATGAACAAACTCTGGTAAATTATGACTATTGGTAAGCACATTGTTTTCCTAACAGAAGTTATTAAATACAACAATGATATTGAGAATAAAATAAGTATATTGGCCATTTATAATATCCATATGCAGTTTTCTTTAAATAACCTATATGTTACTACCAGTCCAATTTGAGCTTAAAATTAGTAAAATAGTATTTGGACATAAGCTTTATGTGTTTTTTATTGCTTGAAATAGATCATAGAATGAAATAAAGTGATGCTGAAGTCAGTATAGCAAGTTTGGTTCTGTTATAGGTGTAACACCACTAATTCGGCCCGGCCAGAAAGCACATACCAGAAAGTAGTACATATTTAACACAAAATAGTTCCTACGCATGAGTGTAGCTTTCAAAATATGTAGAATATTTAGGTATTGTTGGTATCAAATGAAAGCTGAATGACTGGTGATCATTGTAGAACACTTTTTGACTTATAATTTTGAATATTAAAAAAACTGCACCAAATTTTATAAAGAGGGTACTTTTTGCCTGTATTTCAGATCTGAAGTACCTGTTTTGGTACATCCGAAGTTCCGGGAACCAGTTCTTTCTTATATGCCATTAAAGGTATGTTGATTTTTCCAGTACAAGACACCATAAAGTGTTGCTTTGACATGCAATGATTGTCACTTTATTTGAACTTGAAACAAAAGAGCTGTGTCTGCTTGAAATTGAGGAATTTAACATAGAAAGCAATGGGGCCATGAATTAGTGGTGTACTTCCTATTACAGAGAATCATCAGAAATTCAATTTTTAGAAGTTGTACCTATTCCAATGAAAATAAGTCATATTTGATGTAAGTAAACATGTTTAATCATCTTTTTTTGAAGAACAATTCTGTTTATGGGAAATTTCAGCTCTTAAATTGACATAATCAGGTATTTTAGCCTTTTATGGTCACACAACATGCATGCAGTTAAGACTTGACTCCAAATTCTTATTTTTGCATTATTTGGGATTGCAATCAATAAAACATGTATATAATGACTTGTTTATGGTAAAAAAATAGCTCTTGGTCAAATAATCCTATGATTTTTCAAGTTTTATTGGTTTTCTTATGATAGCCTTTTACAATCTAGGCAATTGGTATATACTCATATAAGAATTCCAAAATCTCACTGTACATGCAATTTTGAACCAGTTTAGCAAGTTATCCAGCTGAAAAATATATAAATTGCTCTTTATAATCTATGTTGTACCACAGAAGTATGGTTTATACCAAAAATGTCCCTTTTCCAATTTGAAGAAAAAAGGGGGGACAATTTTCTCAATTATGTCTTAGGTTTGGTCTAATATATTTTTATTAAATGAACAAACTCTGGTAAATTATGACTATTGGTAAGCACATTGTTTTCCTAACAGAAGTTATTAAATACAACAATGATATTGAGAATAAAATAAGTATATTGGCCATTTATAATATCCATATGCAGTTTTCTTTAAATAACCTATATGTTACTACCAGTCCAATTTGAGCTTAAAATTAGTAAAATAGTATTTGGACATAAGCTTTATGTGTTTTTTATTGCTTGAAATAGATCATAGAATGAAATAAAGTGATGCTGAAGTCAGTATAGCAAGTTTGGTTCTGTTATTTAAGAGCCAATCCGCCAGAAAACCATGCAATATTCAGAAAATCGTCCAAATCGACAATCACAACTTGACAAATTTTTATACATCATCTTAATCCTTGACATAAAATAAAAGAATTTGACCACTTAATTTTTCCCAGAATCGTATCTATTTTTAGTAACAGCCTCATTTGCATAATTCTGTAAATTCATAATGAAACCAAGGAAAAATCCTACTTTTTTATGCCTTTTAAGAATGACCCAGAAGCATATTAAATGGGGTAGTTGAGTTTTTAGAGTAATGTCAGCTGAAACTCATCCATTTTACTATGTTATGATCAATACAAATGAAAATTTAAACGATTTGGCACATTGCCAGGAGCAGGGACACAAAGGCGGGGTTTTTCATACATGAATTTATGTGGTTTTCATTCGCTTCTATCTTGCAAGACCCATTCCGGATTTGTTTGCAACTTATATCGGTTTTAACTATGGGGTATGTTTTATATCAAAACAAAATATTAAGCTTGGCAAATGACTATTATATGTTAATTTATGCCTTGGAAGAATGGTGATTTTAGTCCCAAATTGACACATTTTGATTTTGATTTTAATTAAATTCTAAACACAACTGGTACTAAAATGGCTCATAAAATCATTCGAACAAGTAAAATCAATTTGTCTGAAAAATGAAATAAGACGTATTTGTACTGCAAGTCCAAAAATCAATAAATTGTCTGAAACCAGGGAGTCCATCTTTTATGCTCTTCCATTGACTTATCTCCCTTGGGTAAGATCTCAAACATGTCAGCTCCCAATGATGGTTTGGCAGACAAATGTTTACAGTGAAGTTTGTGACTTTAATAATCTAGGATGAGCATGTGGGCTATCCCAGCCTTATACATCTACATATTACAAACTATTTAAGATATCTGAATGCACTAAAGACCAAAATAGCATTTCCAAAAAAAATAATTACTGCCAAGAAATTTGACAATCATGACAATAATTTAGTGAATAAACATGATAAATATTGATTGGAAAAATAAGTCCATGAACAGCAAAAAGTGTTTTTAGATTTCAACGAGCAAAACAAAAGTATTCTAAATCATTCTTCGTAAAAAAAAAAGTGAGCCAGTGGAACCACCTTGCTCGCACCAAAATTGAGATTGAGAGTGTCAAAACTGCTCTGGTGCACCATCAATAAATCAACGACACTCTCTCTACCGTGGTATTGAAACCAGCATTGGTAACCAAACATATTCATACAGATACAGACTACCATTAATCTACATTTAGGAAGTCTGAATAATACTGAAAACTATGGTGTAGAATTTCCAACAGGACTCCTTATTTTATATAAGACAAGGAGTGGTTTATTTTCCCATGGTTGTTACATCATCTTGTCTTTGAATATGCTCGAAGTACAGGGACTTTTATGGAATTCATTGACATGATAGTCAAGCAAGATGTCAACATCTCGTCCAACCCTCTTCCAGCAAAGCCAAAGCTGACCAAGGATCTTCACCCTTTCAAAACAGGCTGTATACAGGACGAGTTATTCCAGTAGGAACAGGTACAAATCTTACATTCAATTTTCATTTGTTCCATATAGTCAATCTGAAATTAGGGGACCAACAATTGATACATTAGCTAGATTAAAAAAAGGGGGGGTGGGTGTTGAAGGGGCATGTGAGTATTCTTTTACACCTGACCTGTTTCTAAGACATCTTATTTATTCCCTATGGCAAAGTGCAAGCAAATAATACATATCCGTATATACATTGTTCTGTCTTGGGACCATTTGATTAAAAAAGCAAGGGGGAGGGTTAGAATGGTCAAAATATTTATGTCCTTGTCAGCTTAGGACAGAATTTTAATTTTCAAGCTATTAACCAGGGTACAATATATATTTATTTTCTGCTTTAAAAAATCAATTTATAGACCAGAATGATGATAATAATCAAAATCTATTTCAACATATTCAACGTTTAGCAGGTCAGGTTTTTATTCTCTTCCCCTAAGTTATATTTTCAGTTCTTACTGGAAGTTGTTCAGCTCTTTGTCTACTAAAACAAGTTTTATCTCGTGGAAAAGCCTCCTACAAATACATGTTTTACATACAACAAACTGTACATGTAACACTAGACAACTTTATCCAGAGAATAATATTTTTTAATGAACTAATAGGCCATGGGACTAAAAAATCAAAAGCATTGCAAACTTTTGTAAGGTTCAATTTTAGGACCCTACATGTACATGTATGTAGATTACTTATAGAGCCCTTTTTAAAAGAAAAAACATACATTTAAACTACATGCACAGTGATGCTACACTACCCTACATTTCCTGTCTGATATATTTTATTTCATGTAAAACAAAATTGAAGAATTATTTTATAGTTTAACACTTTTTATTTGTAGGGCTATATATATGCAAGCAATGCTCAATTAAGATGAATTTTTGTAAAAGTGACAATAGCCAGGTCAAACTAAATACATGTATAGAAGAAGATATTGGTAAGTTATTATTAACTTATATATTAATTTAACTGTTTGTATAACATGGTAATCATACAAAGTATATGTAATCACTTATATAATAACATAATTATACAATTACATGTTATACATTTGTACATCAGTTTTATTAAACAGGTCTTTGTTAACTTGGTTTTCCCATTGAAAAATCACTTTGCTAATTTTAATTTGTAGTACTATATTGGGTGTCTCCTATAGTTTCCATTCAATAACTAACAATGACTAATGAACTGTTCATACATTCCATTTCAATTATTTTATTTATTAATACGTATTACTTTTACTGTTAAGTCTGTTTTTTGTGATATCCATTTTACGTGACTCTGTATTTATGTATCCCGTCATACTTTGAACGACAAAATTATTTTATGTCTACCTGTGTGAATTTCAAACGCATGATTTTACGCCAGTACTTAAAACCTTCCATCCTTTATGGGTGGATTTTACATAGATATATAAAATCGTATAATATAAGCAAAATGAGGATGTTAAATTTGATGTATGCCTTTTTGTGCTTCTTCGTTACATTTGTTTGTTTTTATAGTGATTAAGATGATAACACAATGTTGACTGCTGTACCCCTATTTTTGACAATTTTACCTATTGTGTCTGTTTGTTTTGTTCATGCATCGTTGTCAATATAATGGAATTTGATGCGACTGTCATACAAGTGAGAGGTTTATTATCTAGCTATAAAACCAGGTTCAATCCACCATTTTCTACATAAGAAAATGCCTGTACCAAGTCAGGAATATGACAGTTGTTATCCATTCGTTTGATGTGTTTGAACTTTTGATTTTGCCATTTAATTGGGGACTTTCCTTTTTGAATTTTCCTCGGAGTTCAGTATTTTTGTGATTTTACTTTTTCAAATATAAAAGGGGGAGATTTGTATTGGTACTTTTGAAGATATTTCACCTGTTCGTTTAATTGATTGGTTGTTGGTAATGCTAATGTCCAATGGCAAATAGTTCATGCATGTTTAGGACAAGAACAAATTAAAATAAATACATTATTTGGGTTCTTAATATGCTAAATCTAACAATGTATTTAAATAATTTAAGATGTTGCAATTGGGCCCCATTTTAAATTGGTTCACATTGATTTCAAAATGGTCCAAAATTTTTTTTCTTATTTCTACACAACTTGATTTCGTGAGGTTCTTTTGATATACAAAATGCAAATGTTTTATATTTAGATTTTTAATTTTGGTCCGGTTTTCAGATTTGTCCACATTTTAATGTCCAAAGGGTCCAAATTTTAACTTAGTTTAATTTTAACAAAACTTGAACTCTAATTACAATGAATTAGGGTTCTTTGAATGATAAATAGAAATAATCAAATATCCTGAATATAAATATGTACTTAGATATTTATGATTTTGGTCCCAGTTTTCAAGTTGGTTCAAATGGGGTCCATAATTTAACTGTGTTTGATTTCAACAATAATTTTAAAGATGCTGATTCAGCCTGAATCTAACCTGTATTTAGTGTTTGGGCCCTATTATGAAATTGGTTTACATTGAGGTCCAAAGGGTCCAAAATTAAACTAAATTTTAAATCTGAATTTGATCTTGGGGTTCTCTGATATGCTGAATCTATTAAACTTTATCTTTATACCATATTTATTCTGTGTTAGAAACCTATTCTTTGTCAAATATTTAATCCCATTACAAATTTAGAGCTGTTATAGCTTGAATGTTCTGTCCAAACTTGCATTTTTTCTTCATCTTCCACAAAATTTGTCCTTTTCTGAGATAACTGGTGTTATCTTTTTAAATGAAACTTTAGTGAAAAGAAAAGCACAATATGTGGATATTATCTGATGTCAAACATTTTCAAGATGGCCACCAAGGATGGCACAAATTTCAACACTGGTTAATTTAATGAACATTGTTAATTAGGGATAGACGTGGTAGTTTGACTTGCTAAACAAAGTAAGGTTGTTTTTTCTTCCAAAATGGCAAACATTTTCAAGATGGCCTTATATGAAAATTGACATTAAGGAATTATAGCACTTTTGACATGCCAACAAAACAATGAAATTTTTTTTTAAAGATGGACACAGCAAATAAGGGGTAAAATTTTCAATTTTGTTGAGTTTGATTTTAAAGAATATTGATATTTAGCTGTACTTTGACACAGAGAACAGATATAAAGATGGCCATCATTTCAAAGATTATCACTAAAAGCGCTCAAATTATCACCATTGTTTGTTTTCAATGTAAAATTATATTGAGAGGTTATTTGACATGCCAAACCAAATGGAGGCAATTTTTATTGTTGTAAAGATGTTAAGGGCTATTTGGACATGCTTAAAAGGAGTGGAAAATAACTATTCTGCAAAAATAATTTGGCTTTAGTTGGAAGAATTTTGTAACTGCATCCACTTACAGTAAAAGTTGTCAGTTTTATTTTCTGTCAGTGGTATATATGAAATTAAAAAAAAATGTGGTATGATTGCCAATGAGAACAAATGACATAGAAGTAAAGCTATAGGTCTTCATACGCCATATGGCCTTCAACAATGAGCAAGACCTATACTGCATATATATTCAGCCATAAAAGGCCCCAAAATAAGAAAATGAAAAAATATGAAAACTAACAGCCTGATTTATGTATGTATGTTTTTTGGTTTTTAGATCTAGACTCGCAGCTAACCTTTCTGTCAGTGTCAACAACAACTGAACTTTCACAGCAGTCAACATCAGATTGGGAGACTGATAATGCTTCTAACAGAAACAATTTCAACCAACCAAACAAGCAACAGAAACTTTCCAACTTTAAAACATCAGTTAAATCTTCCATGGGATGATGTCTCAAAAAATAACAGTTCATTATTTATGGAGATTTTAATGTTATGGTTTTTCTTTTACAAGAAAGTTAATGTACACTTGTTTTATAGTAAAACCTATAGCCGTTCAAGTATAAAAAAACACATTCAACTTTATTGAAATTTGAAGATTCATATGACTTATTTTAATTCTGTTATCTCCGAGGATGTGATGTAGAGCATTATAGGTACAGTAAATCTTAACAGCTATCCAATTTCATTCAAAATTCTTTATAAATTTTGCACTGGTATATATAGACTAAGTAATTTGTTTTTCGTCTAGTTATGGGATTTTTTTATACCCCACGCAACGAGTTGCGGAGGGTATAATATTTTTGACCCGTCCATCAGTCCGTCAGTCCTGTTTCTTGTCATCGCAACTCCTCTCAAACCACACAACAGAATTTCATGAAACCTTTTCAGATAATAAGGACATACTAGGTAGATGTGCATATCGACAGGAAATTACGATTTAATTTTTTTTCCAGGAGTTACGCCCCTTTGAACTTATTTGCCCAATATACTACTGCAACCTTTTGTCATCCCAACTCCTCTCAAACCACACAACAGAATTTCATGAAACCTTTTCAGATAATAAGGACATACTACGTAGATGTGCATATCGACAGGAAATTACGATTCAATATTTTTTCCAGGAGTTACGCCCCTTTGAACTTATTTGCCCAATATACTACTGCAACCTTTTGTCATCGCAACTCCTCTCAAACCACACAACAGAATTTCATGAAACCTTTCCAGATAATAAGGACATACTACGTAGATGTGCATATCGACAGGAAATTACGATTCAATTTTTTTCCAGGAATTACGCCCCTTTGAACTTATTTGCCCAATATACTACTGCAACCTTTTGTCATCGCAACTCCTCTCAAACCACACAACAGAATTTCATGAAACTGTGTAGATAATAAGGACATACTACGTCGATGTGCATATTGACAGGAAATTATGATTCAATTTTTTTTTCTGATACAATTTTTTTTTCTTACACTTATTTTATTTCTCCAATGACGATGTGGTGTATGTGAGCGCTCACTAAGGTTCTTTCATTTTAGAAGCATTTATGATTTTCATGTTTGTATTGACCACATTGCAGCAACATAGATATAGGTACCTGGCAAATCTTGCCTTGTTAGCATACTAGGCTCAAAGGGTCATAAAAAAATTTCCATCACTAAGTGTCTGTTAAAATCATCTGTTTACAGTTTTCACTTTTAAACCATCATCTTAATAACTTTAGAAGAAGTGTCATACATGTATATATGTATACAAAATTCAAAAACTTTTCAATATATATATATATATATATATATATATATATAAGTGCCTATAAATAGCAGCACATGACATACAAATCTATGGGAGTGTGGATTAATCAGTACAGAGATTAATTCAATTACACAAATAAAATTATAGATTGCTTAACAATGTAATTTTAACACACTATTTAGTATGTAAATATAAGAATGTTTAAAATATTTACAAAATGATGAAAATAAACGCAATATTTCGCTAGACTAACTAGCTTTATCAAGCGTGCATCTATCCATGTGAAATCGGATGTAGATGATAAGAAACTTTTGCAGCTCAATGTATATGTTGCACTTGAATTTAGCTGCCTTGAAAATAATAAATAATTTGAATGAAGTTCAAGATTTTTACAAAATTGGTAGTTGAAGTTAGCAACGTCCATTGGCCAATATTACAGGATAAAAAGGACGATGCTGTGTACTAAATTATTCTTTATCTTTCCTGTATCTTTTCTCATCTTTTTCGTTAAGACCATCAGGTTCTAAAGTGTGGAGTTGGTGGATCCAAAAATTTTCTCTTCTCCTTCTCGCCGTGGTGTCCCACTCGGTGTTGACTTCTATGATTTGGAAGGTAACATTATCAAAAGAATGTTTCGTTGAACGAAGATGTCTTGTGAGAGGACAGTTTTTGTTGGTTTTGTACCATGAACGATGGTTATTGAGCCGAATATTAAATTTGTCCATTGTTTCTCCCACATACTGAATGCCACATGTGTCACATGTTAATATATAAATTGAGTTCTCCGTTTTACAGTTGGAATTTGAGTAGATGGTATAATTTTGTTTAGTAACGGAGCTGATGAAAGAACTGCTTATATTGGCAGCTTTACAACACAAGCAGTTCCTTCGACCACATTGTTTGTAGCAACCGGGAGATGGAGTAGGCTGCTTTGCTAATACAGATGTCACTAATTTGTCACGGATGTTTTTAGGTCTTCTGAAGGCCATGACTGGTGGTGAGGAAAATACTTTTTTAAGATTTGAATCATTTTCTATAATTTTCCAATGCTTCTGAACAATGGAAGACACATTTTTAAAATCAGGATGGTAAGTGAGTACAAGGGGTGTTCTGTTAGCTGCTTTATTCTTATCTTTGTACCCTAGAAGTTCTTGGCGACTACTTTTGTTTGCTCTTTCGAAAGCGCTATCAATGATGTTGTTATTGTATCCTCGAACAACTAGATGTTTACGTAGTTGTCCAAGTCTAGCATTTTGCGTATTTTCAGTAGAGCATATTCTCTTGATTCGCAATGCCTGGCTGAATGGGATGCCACGGGAGCAGTGTTTAGGATGGCAACTTTTAGGAGAAAGGAATTGATGTTTGTCCGTTTGTTTGGTGTGAAGGTCCGTTATAATGGTTCCGTTCTTGATGTAACTCGTAGTGTCGAGGAAGTTTATTTTCTCCATAGATGATTCATATGTAAATTTTATTGAATGGTGGAAAGAGTTACAGTGTCCTAGAAATTCATTAAATTTATATATATATTGATAAAACTATCAACATGACAAGATCTAAATACCCAAAATTTTTCTGAAAAATTGGACATAACATCTATGAGCTATTGTCCCTGAAATGTGTAAATTTACAAATTTTCACAGTTTTCTGCTACTATCCGACAACTATATCAATATATTATAAGAATAAATTGCAAAAGTGGTCAGAAGAAACTTTTTTTTTACAGTCTGAACTTATTCTGAATTGTTTAACTCCTAATTTAAATTGATTGCGTTTGAAATATGTGTTTTTTATCGTTTTAGGTGCACAATTTGTCAATACGATCTATTTCGGCTCCTGGGAGCCTCTAGATTTATAATGAATAATTTGTATTTATGTATGATTATTTTCTTAATGTATTAAATGAAACATTAATTATTCTTTTCCATTTGTTGTTATACTTATTTATAAGTCCAGATCCTATCATATGTCAGTAGTTACAAATTAGACGGCAAAATTGAGAAAATTTGAATATGCAGGTTACCCCATTTTGTTGTGGCATATACCAGACACCAACATTATTTGCCGAGCTTAATATTTTTTTTGATTGGGTATATATAGTTATACTTTGCAAGTAGATATGTTGTTTTACAATAATAAACGGGTCTTGGAGTATTTTGGCTCTGAAAGATGACCAAAATCAGCCATTTTGGACATGTAGCTAAATAAGACATATTGAAACAGTTAGATTATACATACACTTAATAGACAGCATTGTTAATTCTATGCATTCTTACACTTAAGGTGATGTATTACTAGGAACAACTATCAAAAAATTATAAATGTTACCATATTTTTTTATTTAAACCAGCGAAATATGCCAAAAAAGGCTTATTTTTGCTGTTTTCGAGCAATTTCATCTGTTAAAACATGGCGCTCAAAAAATATCCAGATCGGTTTAATATTTTCCCAAAAAAATTTGTGTGGTTATTTACATTACTAAGGTGCACCAATATGCCAAATATGAACTCATTTGGAAAAAGTGACATTCGGACGGTTTTGCATGGTTTTTTGGCAGATTGGCTCTTAATATGAGTGTAGTGTTACGAAGTATTGAACGGAACGGATATGATCTCTGCGCCGGAGATTGCGACGTCGCTTTAGATGTAGTCACATTTGCGGAAATCCACTGACGTCATAATCCCGATTGCGCGAATTTGAAAAAAGTACCTGCAATGAAAATCGGCCAAATCACGAGAATTGTTATATTTATTCATTAATAAGGAAGTCAACAATATTAACTTCGAATGGGAAAAAATCAAATTCACATTCTTAATTTTCTATATCTGTTATTTCATATAGGAAATGAATTAGAGATATGAAAAACATAAGACGTCGATGAGAGAGAAACCCAACTACACAAAAAAAAAACATAAGTAATTTATATAGTAACTTCACCATTTGGCTAACTCTAAGTCGTAATGAGAATTGTACGGATAAATTTAGCAGAGACTATCAACAAAATGACAAAAAAAACCAAAAACAAAAACGCACCCGTTGATGTGCTAAGCATATCCTCTTTGTACATATTGAGAGAGAAAAATCGGCACACAGGAATTTGGCAGACCAGAGTTGCAACTCATTGATGTTAAGTTACTGACCAAATACGAAGTCTTTTTGTAAAGTAGTTTCTCAGATTAGAAACAAAATATTTGTTAAAAAAATAAGGACTTTTAAGGAAAGTAACAATACTTTTGAACGAACAGTCATAATTTAACCGGGTTTTTTGTAAAATGTTCCTTTGAACCACGGCATCAAAATGCTGTAACAAGTTTAAGGTTTAACTTAATTTTTGTTTTTTGAATTATATTACTTTTAGTGAAATAAAGAAATTGACAATATCATGTTTTGCGTCTATTCAGAAGTGCAGAAAAAATTTGATCGTTGATTTTTTCTTAGAATTTTGGCGGAGCGTCCCTGAAACATTCCTTGATTGATTGCAAAAGAAAAAAATGGGGGTCCATGTGCTTGTTTTTTCAATAAAAGCAATAAACCTTGATTTTTAATGGCAAACGGGACGTTTGCCAATAAGGCGCTAAATTACGTTGAAATAAGTTTTAATCGCAACAACGTCGTGAAATCTTTCCCGTCGTTCACAACTACGCTGTCATGATTCGTGGTATAGCCAAGGTTTTTTTTTAAATCAATGATATTTATCATCAATATTTATAAAGATAGTTACTCGTAAAGTAGCATAAACTATTCGCCAAACCTTTATGAATTGTTACGAAACTTGGATAGAAAAAGTATTTTAGTAAATTACTTTTAGAAAAGAAATGACCGGAAACAAAAAAAAATAAATCTAATAACAAAAAAATAATTTGCATCTCTGTCCGAAATTAGTCCTACATTTTATGTAGACAACACAGCTTGAGCATAGTTTTAATTATTCAAAAGGCCCCAACATGACAAAATGTGAAACAATTATAAGGGGACGAAGTCCCCTATTACGGTAGAAAAATTAATAAAAAAAAAAAAAAAAAAAAAAAAAAATCGGGAAAATTTCCCGAAATTTTCATTCTACTAATGAACTCAAAATCGTTAACTTTTTTATTTTCAGACTTTTTTATTTTCCCGCATTTGCGCAGAAATCTACTTCCTTTTTCCGGTCTCGTTTGTATGAGTCTTTGAGTTAAATATATATTTATCAGTCTAGTAAAATATAGGAAGGAACGCAATACCAATTCCATTTTTAATAATTCCTTGAATGGCTTGATATGAAAAAACGTTACCTGATAGCGTTTCTTTGTTTACATTGAATATGACGTCATAACATAAATAACGTCACAACTAAAATTCCGAACAACAGAACCGAAATCGGAAACGTAAGGGTATTTCCGTTTCTTTTTTGAACAGATTTTGAAGTTAAAATATGTTTGAATTAAAAAAAAATAATTCATACAGACTTCGTCCCCTTTCACAGGTAACGCCTGCCTCATATTAATTTACAAAAAAAGGTAAATGGGATAATAATATGAGAAAGGCGCTACCTTGAATGCCAGCTTACCAAGACTATGTCCTACATAATGATTGATTGTTGGTTTGCTTAACGTCCAGTGGCAAATATTGCATGCATGTTCAGGACGAATGTCCTAGATATAGTTTTTGTCTACAAAATAAAATAATAAGTTCAGATGGAAAATGTTAAGGGAACGATCATTGAACTCCCAAATTGATGAAAAAAGATTTTCTATAAATCAAGCAGAGGACAAAAAAATATTCTGAATCCAGATTATCCCCATACCTTCTAGTGTTAATTTTTGAACAAATAATTTTGATTGATAGCGTTGAAGCCCTTTGCATGAAAAAAAATCTAACTCGAACAAAAAACCATACCCCTTTTACCCTTTTGAAGCTAAATGGTTGCACCCTTATTGTCCATATTGTTTTCTGCTGAAAATAAATTTATTGGTGATGTATCTAAATGACGATGCTTAAATTCATTATCTTGTGCCATTTTCAAATCCATTTTTCTTTCTTTGCAAATTTTACATAATTTAAAACA